GTTTTTGGTACTAACTGTACAACCCTTTCAGAGATTGATTTAAACACATGCTATCTGGTCAGAATACTATAATTTATTCCTAACAAATGACATGTCAAAGAAACAACAATCAAAATTATGTCGATTAGATCTATCCATGAGCGTTGGAATATTCTCAATGAACAGGAACGAGATATGTCACTCAGAAACTTTATAGTAAAATTAAAAAACAACGATCGATACATAGACAATTATTTACAGTCTGTAAAGCGAGAATATATTAATCAACTAATAAATAAGCTTGACCAGAACTTGATCATGCTTTTGTTGCATTTATTTATTCTCATGTCAGAAACCAACCATATCGCGTATATAAATGCATTCCTGGGGAGTTGTTATTACGATCAGATAAAGGTGTACAGTATCATCAGAAAATGGTAAATGAAACAGTATCAGGATTCTTTGAGAAGACATTCAAAGTCAAGGGAGCAAGGGATCTATTTTTCAATCACATCTGACGAAGTTGCCGTGAAAATAAAACAATGAACCTATTACTTTTATTAGACGAACTTGTTTTAAACATTATTAAAAAATATGTACTTGTTAATATTTGCAATATGATTGGAAGAGAGGAATCGATTAGAATTTGCAAATGGTTCTTCGATCTCTTACCTGATTTTTACCCTTGGGTCGAATATGAATAGACGAGTGAGCAATTCACCTTTGAGTATAAAGGAGAAACACACATTCTCTGGGATAGATTCACGTTACAAATTGGAACCAGGACAAAGAGCATCACACATGAACACACAATCTATACAGGTGAAATGAATAGTATCTTTATAAGTTACAGAGTATATTACACACCAATCATGATTACTACCCAGGAACCTGTGATCAAAACAAGAAACAGGAGATATGATCTGTGTACACTTCGTGAAACAGTGGAACCAGAATTCTGGGAACTCAAGAGAATCCTAAACTATATGACTTAGTATTGTTCTGGTATCATATAAATACTCAAAGACCAAATTGAACTACTAGTTTAAGGTAACCATGCCCTTAACGTGAGATATAAAGATCCCCATAACCTAAAAGAGTTGTTAACTGAGTTCGAGATTGAGAATAGAGAATTTGAAAACTGGATCAATACTATTCCTGGTAGTTACTGATGGTGGTTCGTTGCTACCGACCAACAGTTAAAATTAAAAGATAAGATGTTGGGTGAAACAATTTAACCAAGCGGATTACACTATAATAGTAAAATGTTATTATACCTACTAACGAGTGGGAAATTGGTCTTTGTAAAATACTTTTTCAAAAACTACACCAAAACAAACGCAAGTGGGTTTAAACTCGAAGAAATCCTTGAGAATATAATTGATGAGGATTGGTTCACTGAACAGAAGAGACAAGTTGATTATGAGCTTAGCAAAGAGTTGAAACCCTACCTTAAGAGAGAAAGATTCAACAAAATATCCGAACTCACCATCAATGAAGGAAAGAAACTTGTTAGGCTATGTAACCTAGAGCCTAAGTTGCTTAAGAAGATCAACCATAGAAGTGACAAGAATTAACCTTTTCTGCTACAAATATTATACGAACTTTTAAAAATCGATGATAAGGATCTTTCCGATGAGGTTTTATTTAGTAAGGGAAGAATATTTAGTACCACTGAAAACCTGATTTATGGCTATATCATTGCTAGTAGATACTTTAAAGAACTGGCCGATGATAAAAGATCCAAACTGCGATTGCAAACAGCAGAAACATATGCTAATATTATACGTATTAAAGCCATAGGTAGACTGGGTGGACCTAACGAAGCACTTCCGTATCTGGAAATCGCAATCAATCTTAAAAAGGCAGATATTTATTTTGCTATCTACTCAGTGTATGTTGAATTGGATAGGGGGATAATGCTAGTAAATATCTTAAACTGGCTGCTGATATGAATTATAATTTAGCAATCAAAAAATGTAAAGAATTAAATATTACTTAGATAGAAAACTGTAATTTATTTTATTCAATAAAATATTAT